GGACGTTCACACACGAATCGGGGGATTCGCGGGCTCTGCACTACAAGCCGTACAGTGTCCGACTTCTGCAGCCGTCTCAGCAGCCTGCGAAGCGGCTTACATGTCGATGCATATCACTAGCAGTGCCAGTAACGTCTACCTCGAGAATGTCTGGCTGTGGACAGCCGATCATGACCTCGATAATGGTGCCGATACCCGAATCTCCGTCTACACTGGCCGAGGGCTTTTGGTGGAAGGAAAGAACATTTGGCTGTAAGCTAATAGGCTTACTCGCATTTTTCGTCTCCTTTAAACTGACTTCAACCTCAGATACGGTACCGGAGTTGAGCACCATTCGCTGTATCAGTATCAGTTCTCAGGCTCTCAGTCTATCGTTGCAAGCTTCATCCAGACAGAAACACCGTGAGTCAATGATTGTTTCTCAATAAGAATATCCTGTTGACCCAATCAGATACTACCAACCCAATCCCAACGCAGCCAATGGCCCATATCCCAGGAACACAGCTCTGAATGACCCAGACTACAGCAGCTGTCTATCAGGAAACTGCGATGCGCTCGGTCTCCGGGTCTTGAACAGCCAGAACACTGTTATCTACGGTGCAGGGCTCTACAGTTTCTTCAACTACTACAGCACCGCCTGCTCAGACTTTCCGGGCGGGAAATGCCAGAGTGAAATCTTCAGCATCGAGGGCAGCACCAGCGGGCTGGTCGTCTACGCTCTAAGCACCGTGGGAACGACGAACATGGTCGTGAAGAACGGGGTCTCGCTTGCGCTGTACAGCGATAATCTCGCGACATACGCGGACACGATCGCCTATTTTACTTTGTAGCCGGTATCTATCCAGCAGCTTGCCGTTCTTTCCATTCTTAGCTTCGGCTACTTTTCTTTCAGGTTGATACCTCCTTTCGTTTCAATTGGCAATACCAATTTACTTCAATTGTCCATCTTCCAGGCACTTGAACACCAAGTGAATACAAATCAATTGATAAGACATGTGTATTCGTTATATAGCAAATAAATACATCGTCGAGAAAAACGAACCAAAAAAAGCGGCACGAAGGGTATCTATAGCTTAGCCTTGCTCTGCGCCTTCTTAAGCACAGGCTCCATCTTCGTCGCCTTCATGATGTTCCCCTTGATCTTGAGCTTGCCGCCCATGAAGAGCCGCTGCGCATTCGCCTTGCCGCTAACCAGGGAAGCGAAGTCGGCATCGGAGAGGGAGAGAGTTACTGTTTATCCAATTCACGGGTCAGCCTGAACCCACCCAATCCACTCCACTGATCATTGAAAGAGGAAGTAAACGAACCGTCAGCCTTTCCACCGGCGGGGGCAGCACCCTTGCCGACGACACCCTTGTCCTTGAGATCGAGGTACCAGCTCTCCTCCTGGCCGGAGGCGTTCTTGAGGTTAAAGGCGACGATGGCCTTGGCGTTCTTGATGGCCTCTTTGCGCTCGGCTTCGTCGGACTGGAGGGCGGAGTTGATCACGTCGAAGGCGGCGGAGGAGGGGAAGGCGTCTGTTGTTTTCCTCGGGGTCTCGTCAGTTGGGCTTTGCTTGTTGGTTGGTTGGGTGGTGTGGGGATGACGTACCGTTCTTGAGAGACATGGTGATGGGTTGTATGGCTATTTTGGGGTTTTGAGGGTTGGATGAAGGAGTGGTGGATAGTTGGTAGTAAGAAGTCGGATCTGACAGAAGGAGAAGGAGACTGGGGATATTGTTCTTCTTATTAGGTAGTTATGAGCTGGGATTACGACCAGCTTCCCCGGAGAGTTCGGGGCATGACATGTGAATTCCTCTGGGGCGGTCGGGGATCTTCATAGCAGTGGCATTGTCAGCTTTCGAACTTGCCGAGGCTGGAGGCTCCCTGTGATTGATCGCTGAGATTCCACGGAATGAGGTACTTCGAATTCGATGCATTGCGGCATTCTATCTTCATCTTATGCAGATGACCATTTGAAATTGAGACTGTCTTGTCTACGGAGTACAGATAGAGGGTGTAGATATGCTTGACTACATAACTATATATACTCCGGCCAAGTGGCTTGTATTGTCAGTAGTGGGCACTCAGGAGAAGTAGGGACATGGTTTCAATCAGGAACGGACCAGAAATACTTTTTAGATCTACAGGCTACAGCACAATAATAACCGACGAATTCCTCCCCGCTCTATGCCTACCTATCGAGTGGCTTCAACCATACTCAGAACAGAAAGCGATGCGAGAACTTACCCAACCTAGTCTCAACGACCAGCACAAGCAGTTGAGAAATCCACGTGAACCGATTACCTCGTTACACGGTTAAATTGTTCTCCCAGCCAGGGCAGTGATGACACCAATGGACCTCTCTGACTCCGCTGTTTTTGATGCTGAATTGGTTGAAGGAAATGATCGTGTGCTCTGAGATTTTATACATACTCCGTATAATGACACGCTATCAGCCTGCATAATTGATTGCATAGTTAGTGGTTCCCTTACGGGAAATCCTTGCTAGGATACTTTTTAGCCTGTCAAACCAAGTACAATATCTGCTTGATATTAAATTTAGTAGATCTTCCCTTGTAGTAGATAGTTGATGGCTCTGCTTCAAGACTGTAGAAGGTGACCGTTTGCTAATCAAATGATAATATGAAGTGCATCACTGAACGTCCTTGAGGTGGTGAGCTTGTTCCATTTGAGGATGCTGTCAGAATGAGAGACAACTAGGCAAAAACCAATATCTCTCAATGGAACCATGGATGTTGCCAGACATTAAGACTCCTGGAGTCATTATGACCAGAATCTTGAACAGAATTCCCTCAATGTGTCGACATGTCAACAGAAGAGCTGAATCAATCAGAGAAAAAAATTGAAGAGAGAAGTATCCGCGCCGTCGCCACCGTGTTGGAATAGATCTCTTTTCCGGTTCCCTACCCTGATTCCAAATTCAACAAGATACACACTCTTTATTCTTATTGCGCTGGTCAGAGAAAGCAACAGAGGGAGTAAATTCTAACACGGTCCTCTGTCTGTAACTCTTCCAGGACTACTTAACCTTCCATTGTCTCGACGTCTCTCGTGTCGGTTTATTTTTGTCATTTTGTTCTGCCAAGAAGGAACACCAGACTCCTCAAACCATCAACTCATTCGAGTTTCTTCAACTCTTTACCATCTTCTGTGATCCTCTCTAATGTCGCTCATTTAATGTCTATCTAAAATTAGTGGACAGTTGATTAAGCATTGTTTTTTGCCACTTGGTTTGCAAATTTCTTACCTTCTAGGCGACGGGCTGTTCCCGACACGCTGGGAAACTCCACTCAAGCATGGCGAATATCGCGGAGGATGCGTCCATTGACGCTCTCGAGGACGATCTTCAACTGCATCAAGTCATTCTGCAAAGCTTAAACGAGCAAAGACCAGATGCTGTCGAAGAGAGACAAGAAATACTCGACGTTATCAAAGACTTGGAGACGCGCCTTGCGCAACTGCGTGGGGGCGGCCAAGCTACTCCCAAAACACGTTCGCCGGTTGCCCGTTCGGGTACGCCTGGCACACCATTATTGTCTCAGGCACAGCTAGACGGCGCTGCTTCTTCACATTCAAACAATGCTCTGAGTCCTCCTCGGTGGGGGAGCTCCGCCATGTCTCCTCCACGACGGCCATTTCAGTCTGGACCCCCCACAAGCGTAAGTCGTTCCTCAAGGAGTATCTCAAGAGCGATGCTAACAATAACAAGGGATCGAGCTCATATGCTTATGACGATGATGACCTGGATCGCCCACTTCGAGGAGGGTCGACGCACAGGCGCGCTTCCTCTAGTTCTAGCTATGCGGTGTCCCCTTCGAGGCGACCTGCAGGTCTTCCTCTGGCGGCTGGATCCAGTCGGAAGCGTCGGCGTGAAAGTTCTAGCGTAGACCATAACCTTGCACGGCCACAGAAACGAGCAACAGTCGACAGACGTCCTTCCAATTCTAGCACCGCGTCTTCTCGCAGTCACCAGAGCCAAGTGAACGATGAGTCTGAGGAACTGAAGCGACTTTTGGGCTTAGACAGTGACGATACTCTGCGCGCACTCCAGGATGAGCAGAGGAAAGCAGAGCAATGGCTCGAAGAGCGAAAGGAGCAGGAGCGTCGTGACGAAGAGTATGCCCGTATGCTCATGAACGGACTGTATGAACCTCCTCGTCCAGCTTCAGCTCGCAGCACCACCTCTACGAATTATTCAGGGTCGTCCATCCAGTTTCCTTCTGAAGCTCCCCTGGCATATCGCGGCGAAGCGGGACTGTCTTCCATTCCCGAGCATCGTTCCGTCAATGCGCCACTTGTGGATCGTTCGCGCTCATCCCACAGCATTCCGTCAACCACTGAACTGAGACATTCAGAAGCACGGCATCTACCAGTTGTTACCTTGCGCGATAGTGATGATAGCGATATAGCAGAGATTTCACCCCGAGATTTCCACAATGGCCGGCCTGGACCCCAAAGCCATCCGAGACTGTATCCGGGCTATAATACGCGTACAAGCCATTCTCCGAATCGTCCGAGCATGGCAAGATACGTTCCAGGTACTCATCCTTCGATTCCACCGGGACACAGTGCTCCTCAAGGCTCTGTGTACGGGCCCAACGTCTTGCACAATACTATGGCAAGGCTTCAAGCAAGCCGGCAGATGTTAGAGCAGGCGGGAAGATCAGTCTATGAAGGATTTGCATCATACTTTTCACCCTCAGGCTCTTCCGGCTTGCCCAAGGGATTTCCTGGTGATGATTACTATGCTTCGTTGAGTCGCTACACGTAAGCTGCCCTGCGCCTTGAGGTTGCAACTGTATCGTCATGCTAACAATAGTTCCTCGATCTAGTGACTTCTATGAGCCTGGCGTGGACCCCAAGCAAGTTCAAGAAGAAATCAAACAATTGCTCGAAACGATTAGACCAGACACCGAAATTGCCAAGGAAAAGCGGGAAGGCACCCCAGATGCGCTTAGATACACCTTGCTGGAGCATCAGAAGCTTGGGCTGGCCTGGATGAAGACGATGGAAGAGAGCGAAAAGAAAGGCGGTATCCTCGCCGACGATATGGGTTTGGGAAAGACCATACAAGCCATTGCTCTCGTGGTGTCCCGCCCGTCTACGACTCCAGAGCGGAAACCCACATTGATTATTGCTCCCGTTTCTTTAATGCAGCAGTGGAAGCGGGAGATCCAGAAGGCTTTGAAGCCCGGTAGGCATCAACTTTCCGTCTATGTTCTACACGGTGACAAGCGAGCGGTCGGCTACAGAGACCTGAAAGGCTACGATGTGGTCCTCACCACGTTCGGAACCTTGTCCTCGGAACTGAAACGCAGGGAAAAGTATGACGAGCTACAGTCGGCCGGTGCGAATGAGGAGGCTTTATCCAGAACTTTGCTGAAGAACCTGCCATGTCTCGGCCCGACCAGTCTGTGGCACCGAGTCATCATAGACGAAGCTCAGTGCATCAAGAATCGAAACACGAAATCCGCCCAAGCATGTTGCCTTCTCAATTCCACCTATCGATGGTGTATGAGCGGAACTCCCATGATGAACAGTGTCGAAGAACTACAGTCATTGTTGAAATTCCTTCGGATCAGACCTTATTCCAGCATCGAACGTTTCAACAAGGTAAGTGTCGATGATCACGCCGCGTTTGACTAATTGAAGGTTGACCGATTATTCTAGGAATTCACCCGGCCACTCAAGGGTCCACCTGGCGGGCCTCGCGATAAAGCTATGAAACAACTTCAGGTTCTGCTGAAGGCGGTTCTTCTTAGACGGACCAAAACATCGAAGATTGATGGCCAGCCGATCCTGCGGCTTCCAGCCAGGGTGTCAGAGAAGGTGCATGCTGTGTTCAGTGAGGATGAACAGGCGCTCTACGATGCGCTTGAGAGCAAAACTCAGCTTCAGTTCAACAAGTATCTCAAGGCTGGCACCGTTGGGAGGAACTACTCCAACATTCTCGTTCTGCTTCTTCGGCTTCGTCAGGCTTGCTGCCATCCACACTTGATGACTGATTTCAGCGTCGAGGTCAATGCCGGAACTGACGAGATGGACCTTGTTGCCAATGCCAAAGCTTTCGGAAACGACGTTGTGGTCCGGCTCAAAGAGAACGAAAATCTTGAGTGCCCCATCTGCATCGACGCAGTTGACAACCCCATTATCTTCTTCCCATGCGGTCATAGCGCTTGTGCCGAGTGTTTCTCTAGAATGACTGATCCCTCACTTGCCGTGCAGCGTGGTGAAGATGGTGCAGCAGAGATCAAGTGTCCGAACTGCCGCGGTCGTGTCGATCCGAAGAAGGTCACCGACCATCAAACGTTCAAGAAGATTCATTTTGCCGATGCGGATGATGCCGATCAGGTGGGATCCCTTAAGCCTCTTTGTGAGGAAGAAGATGTGAATCACGACGATAGCGACGACGACGACGACGACGATGATGATGATGACAGTTTGTCTCGATTCATCGTTGACGACGAGGATGACGCAGGTTCAATCAGGAAGTCTAAGAAAAAGAAGGGAAAGAAAGCCAAGAAGACCAAGAAGAGCCTTGCGGAACTCAAGAAGGAGGCATCGAAGAATATCAAATCGAAACAAAAGTACCTTCGCCGACTGGAGAAAACCTGGGTCACCAGTGCAAAGATTGAGAAGACTCTCGAAATCCTTCAGGAGATTCAGGACCGAGACGACAGCGAGAAGACCATCGTCTTTAGCCAGTTCACATCGCTGCTTGATCTCCTCGAGGTCCCAGTCGCGCGTCGAGGCTGGGGCTATCGCCGCTACGACGGCAGTATGAGACCTGGTGATCGAAACGCCGCCGTCCTGGAATTCACCGACAACCCAGACTGCAAGATCATGCTGGTTTCCCTGAAAGCCGGCAACTCGGGCCTGAACCTCGTCGCTGCGTCTCAGGTCATCATCTTCGACCCCTTCTGGAACCCCTACATCGAGGAACAGGCCATCGACCGCGCTCATCGAATTGGACAGACGCGGCAGGTTCAGATCCATCGAGTCCTTGTACAAAAGACAGTCGAGGACCGTATCCTTGAACTTCAGGAGAAGAAACGCGAGCTCATTGAGGGTGCTCTAGACGAGAAGGCCTTGAAGAAGGTGGCCCGCCTGGGAACTCAGGAACTAGCCTATTTATTCGTATGCCAGCCCATTCCTCTAATACTTTGTCTAAAGACTAACTGAAATTTTCCACAGGGCGTTCAGTAACGGCTCCTCATCTTTTAATATGCGCGGTATGTCGCTGGCGGCATTCTGCGCGCGGTTCTCAGCTTTACTTCAGATACGATACCCTAGATCGCTGCCTTTCTCCCCATCTTATTTTGTATTTGACTACTTCTCTATTTACATTCCGGACAAGTTCGTATCCATCAATGCAATATCACCAGACTTAGAGCAGCCAGATAGAATGCAATCTTGACCCTTAATCATGGATCTCATGCTATTTCATAAAGTAGCTGCTCACGTATCGACATCGTACACCCCATGATCAATACGCCAAACTGCAGTGTTCAAATTCCTGGACGCTGCACAAAACTGGGTGTTGTTCTTTTGACCCAAGCCAATTAAAAATGACGTCACCCACAGTAGATTGATACCTAAAGTTGGTTCTTTGGAATTCCAGGGAATCAACAAGTTACCAAATGGGGTGATTGTTCACTGTGGATATCATGCATTAGTCTACCTAGGTAGTATGTCTATTGCCCTGCAGTGGCTTACGCTGTAAGGCTATGGGACTAACAGGAGTACCCCCCTCGATGCAAAGAGACAATATGAAAACTTTTTTCGACCATCCGTAGACAGCCCATTTTTGCCAACAGATTTGCTTTTTTGTCGTAAATAGAGTTATCGTTTGAGAAAAAGAAAAAGAAAAGGGAGAAAAATTGTGATAAGCGTCTAAACTACTAGTTGTAAGATTCCAATGCATGACAGTGCCGACCTTCCCTTCAGGCTATTTCCACCGACCGCTATCGTTGTATCGTAACTCGAGGCATGGCGTAACGAATCCCAATGACCGGGAGGAAACCGCAGGCATGGGTGAATGACCGCAATGAGCTCCCGATCCGATCTGTGCGATACGCTTACAGATCCGCATCCTCCTCATCGGGCAGAGGCATGGCAGCGGCTGTCGCCATCTCCTTCTCGTACTCAGCCATGAGCTCAGGGTTGACAGCGACCTCAGGAGGAGCAAGAGCAGGGGCAGCAACGAATTCCTGAGTCGGGTGTGTCAGTTGGAAGTGTAATCGCAAGGTTATATAGGCGCGAAAACTCACCAAGGTGGGGTTGCCGACTAGCTTGCGGGCGAGCCACAGGAAGGGCTTCTCGAAGTTGTAGTTGGACTTGGCGGAGATGTCGTAGTACTGGAGGTTCTTCTTGCGGTGGAAAGTGATGGTCTTGGCCTTCACCTTGCGCTCCTTAACATCGACCTTGTTACCGCAGAGAACGATGGGGATGTTCTCGCAGACACGGACGAGATCGCCTGTTTCGTGATCATCAGTATGGCCATCGCACTCTATGTCGAGCTGACAATGACTTACGGTGCCAGTTGGGGACGTTCTTGTACGTGATACGGGAGGTGACATCGAACATGATGATACCGCACTGGCCGTTGATGTAGTATCCATCTCTCAGACCGCCGAACTTCTCCTGACCGGCTGTGTCCCATACATCGAACTGAATCGTTCCCAGGTTCTATCGCGAAAAGTTAGTCGGCTCGGAGAAGCAAAGTGGAACGATCAGAGCGGGGTTGTTGGCGGGGCATACGGTGGTGAAAGTCAGAGGGTGCACTTCGACACCGAGAGTTGCAATGTACTTCTTTTCGAATTCACCAGTAAGGTGGCGCTTGACGAAGGTGGTCTACACGGTATGAATGTTAGCGATCCCGCAAGGAGCTTCGACATTGGGTGATTTATTTTTTCTCGTTGGCGGCGGGGGCGATGAAGAAATCAGGTCCACACAAGTAGGGCAACGAGCGTCAACCCTTCATAGAATGCAGACAGAGCGGGATGCTGCATCTCATAAGAGAATAAAGCAATATGAGGGCGATTTTACTTACCTTACCAGTACCACCGTCACCGACAAGGACGAGCTTGAAGGTTGGTGTAGTCTGTGCAGCCATGGTGGTGTTTCTGTGACGTTTGAAAATGGGAAAAAAAAAGTCAAGTCGCGAAAGAAATCACGCTGTATTTATATGATGGAAGTCGTCAAAAAATGCGACAGTTGATGGAGAGAAGTGTGTTCAACAGAACGGCTGAAGCCAGGGAGAAACAGAGCGAAAGGCTATTCTGGTGATGGAATTTTTGCCCCGAGTCGGTCACAACAGGCTGAAGTCACGTGTTGTTGCCTGAGGACGACAGTGCCCCGCGGGATAGCGGTCCAAGAACGCCTGAGGGCACGTGCAGCCTGGAGCTCTACAAAATACACTCTTTACAGTGTACGATTTTCACAATTATCTCTCTTGATTTGTCCATGTTCTGCATCTTTTACAGATTAGGTACGAAGGTAGCTAGGAGTTCCATGCATTGATTATTAATACATTCTTTCTCGGACTTCAGGTCTCCATTTGCAGCCTAAACAAACAATAACGCCAATTTATACTTGATCCTACCATCGACTTGATCATAAAAGCCATATCACATTTCTCATCAGAGTACAAGAAGAGGAGCATGACACGAGCAGACGTCATGAGGAGTGCATCTCCTTCTACAGCGCCATTGAGTTAAGAGTGTCAATCCGGCCCACTGTTTTCCTGTCACAGTGGAACAAGATGACAACCTAACAAACCACGACCTCCCCAGTCACGGCGTGGTATGAGTTCTAAGCTCAGCTCAGTAGTGTTATTGGACCCGGGTCCCTCCTTTCGTACAATCTTGACGACGATCATGCGCTGAGTAAAGTCAGTCAGGTGTAGCTTGAGCAGGCGATGCGACGACTTACTCCTTCGTTCTGTTGCACTGTTTCTGCTACCTTAGATAGACGTTCGTGATTGATCCAGTTCACATTTCCAAAGCTTCGTATGGTATCTCCGGCCTCCAACCCAGCCTGATCCGCGGGACTACCAGGCACCACGCTGTTCACCTTGGCAAAAGGCGTCCCAATCATCTCGGCATCTGATAAACTGTTCTCACCCAAGTTGCTTCGTTGAACTGCAGTTCCGTTCGTACCGCCAGCGGGAACAGCGGCTTGCGCACGTTGAAGACTGGCGAAATGCTCATGGAGACCCTTTTCGAGATGCTTCATTACTTCTTTGTGGTCGGTTCGCAGGTAGATTATTCGTGCTCGCGTCGTGCGGACTATGCTTCAGATTTAGTTTCCGTACCGCATATGGAAATTCGATGAACCTTACTCTGTGCAACGTCGATATCGTCTCGTGGAAAGCCATCAAAGGTCGTGAGGGACGTATTCATATTTACGCCATGCTGGAAACACACATCGTCAGTCCTAGCATCCAGAGACGTCTAAGTAGATCGGATTGACTCACAGACGTGAGCACGGCGCTGAGGGCCGAGAGTTCTGCTTCGATGCGTTCCTTTTCTTGCATCAAGTCCACCATGGACAGCTTGGACAAGTCGCGGGGAACCCCTCCGGACGTAGGTCCAGAGGGTACAGTGGGGGCGTGAATGTTATCGTTCATGGGTATTCCCATCCCTTGATGACAAGGTATAGTTAGACCATCGTCGTGTTGTCTGGTAAGTTGGTGGTTGTGTCGAAGAGAGCTAATGGATGGACGGACAGTAGCGGGTCCACCTTCGCGATAGTCGATAGCCCACGGGATCGGAAAGGCTCCTTTGCTGTTCTTGGCACATCAAGCTTCCATCTTCTAGGTACTGTCTAACTATCTACACTGGAGAGTATAGGTATATTCATTCTGTCAAAAAATGAAATCGACTCTTCAAATACTGCTTTCTTTGTATTCTTTTCGCGCATTTAACCAACCAAGAAGGATGCTATGAATCTGTTGTTGCAGCGTTTTCCTGCTATGGAGAACATGATAAATTCGAGAAGCCCAAGGCAAACAGGAGGTGGATGGACAGTATACCATTACAGATGGCCGATTTTCAGCCCTGCAGATCCTACAGCGGGTGTCCAGAGTCATGGTTTTGTTTGTCATTGCTTCCTCTGCGCGGGTCGCAACTTCCCTATAGCTGGGGACTCTGCTGCGCCTACTGGTTTTTGCACGCCTGCAATATGGTCTTCAAAACCAACTTCTCGTACTTGCTATTCAGACAATTCTCAGTCCAGTTCTTCTAGAATTAGTATCGCATGCACACACAAACATGGAAGAGTCCAAGGAGGATACCCTATCCGAAACACCGCTCCTTCTCGTGGAATCTCCGAACTCAGACGTACAAGCAGCGGATGCGAGTGATTCACTTCATGACTCAGGAGGGAGAACAACTGATTCAGGATCATTCAGAAGATGGTTTGGAGAATTCTGGCTGAAGAGGAGTCTTCCACCTCCAGCCCAGAAACACGTTGACGGTTGGCCCGAAATCTTCTTGACCAAGTGCTCCAACGACGATTTGTCACCTCACTGTGGCCTTCAAGATCAGCAATGGGAGCAATTATCGGCCCACTCGTCTCATCTGGGGATCACCAAAACAGCGAGCTTCACTGACCAAAGCATTGGGAGATCAAGGGCTGCAACACAGAGTACCTTCAGCCCGAGCATACATTCGGGCGGTCGTGGTTCAATCGAGAGTTTGAGGCCTACTCTCAGCCATTCGATGTCCCATGCAGTGCTACTTCACTCTCTTGAGAGGCGTCAAATACTTCGGGAGATTATCACTACTGAAACCGACTACGTGTTCGGGTTGAAGGCCCTTGTTGATGTATGCCCGAGAAACAGCATTTCGTGCAATTAACGCTGAAACTGACTTTTCTCATCAATCGACCAGGTGCTTCTCATTTGTTCCGTCAGACCCCGGATATACCGCAACGTCCAACAGATTCGACAACTACACCAGAACTTCCTGGCAAGGGCTCGTGCCGTGAGCCCCAAGTCCGTTTCGGCTGCATCCGATGTCGATAAGCTGTTCCCTCAGGGTGTTTCTAAAGGCTTGAGGGCGATTGACTTGAAACGCCTTAATAACCTTCAAAACAGATCTTTGAGGAGACAGAGCCTGAAGACATCAATCATTGCCCACCTCAACTCACTTGCTGCGCAAGGTCCGGAAGCCTCTGACATCGCGCATGAGATTGCGGAATTGGTACGTGTTTCAGCCATCCTGACGCTTCGTTACGCTCACTCTTCTTGTCGGCAGTCAATGTCCTTCAAGCTCTATGAAGACTTCTGTAGCAATTTTGAATTACTCTTGCAAGATGTGAGCCTTCTGCGCGGGTCAATACCGAATTGGGAAACCTTTGAAGGAGGAATAGAATCTCTTTCAAAATCTGTGACATCCATAGAGAACACGCTCTTGACAGATAATAGGTCAATGTCTTTGAGTGATCTCGTTGTCAAGGTTTTTCAGCCCCAGCTTCCAGACCCGCGGTCTCAGTGCTAACCAGAGCCCCAGCCAGTTCAGCGCCTTTGTAAGTATGAGCTGTTCTTGAAGGAACTACTAAAGTGCACGCCAATCCAAGATGACCCGTTATCGCATGACAAGATAAAGGAAGTGCTCGATGGCCTTCGCCCAACAATCGAGCGAGTCAATCAAGCCAATGAAACTCTCAAGCAAAGAGAACTCATTTCAAAGACCCTCTTGCTGAGAGAAAAGCTGGAATTGCCAGAGCCGGTGAGCCAAATAATCACCTCCCTCAATCGCAGAGATTACTGACAAGTAGGGATCTTGAACGCAGGACATTGTTCATGATATTTACCAACAACTGGGACCCATCAAATTATGTGGCGTTCTTCATGCGACCTACCAGTTACCGGCAGATATTGTCGGTGAATATATGGTCTGCGCTCTATTTGAGAGCTATCTTGTTCTGGCTGCCTCAAGAGACGGCTGTTCAAGGCTCCGGGCTGTGGCGTGCTTATACATCCGTGATCTAAAGATCGACACCTTGAGAAACGGCAGAGGTAAGCGGCATACATCCAAGACACTTTTTAACCTTTTCCCCCGCCCGTGGCTCACACTTAAGCTCGATATAGGGCTATGCTGCTACGGATGCTTATTCTCGTGGAAGCTGATATTTGAACATCGAAATCATCAGTACGAGCTGGTCTTGAGCGCATCATCGGCGATTGAAGAGAGGCAATGGAAAGCCGAGATACTCAGGTCGGCTGCGGCATTGACCGAACTTTCGACAGCAGGACAGTCGGAATCAAGTCTATATTCCTTTGAGGTGCTAGGACTGCTCCCACTCGAATGCTCGACCGGTTTAACACCTCTCTTGTCCCGAAAATCTTCCATCCACTCATTGGCCACTTCTGTGGGTAATGTAAATTTGCAGCACATTGTGATCAGAAAAACGCACAAGCCTGGAGAGGCATCGCCTGAGGCGGATGGAGAAATCGAACGCCCAAAGATCCCCCCCTGGGCCTCAGCGCTGGTCCTGACAACCAGAAGACAAGATAGGGTTGATCTGGAACGATTCATTTTCAACATATATACAAAGAGCTCACTGCCTTATCCTGGAATGCCTCCGGCCAAAGGCAAGGACCTGCTCAGGCCTAGTAAGCTCATGATAGCTATCCGGGAAGGAGTGTCAAGACGTTCTAGCTCCGGAGCTCTTCCAACTGCCAGGCGTCCTGCCGTAGTACTTACTCCTGCAAAAAGCAGCAAAAATGAGCAAATCGGCCGGGTTGAGAAGGGTCGAAGTGACGAATCGCCTATCGAGGACAAGAAGAAGACTGCCTCGCCTATGAGTCGCATGGGAACAGTTCGACGAGCTCTAACTGTGAAGTTTCAGGCCAGACACAAGTCTGCTTCTCATGACGATCTGTCTTGGCAGTGTAAGGGACAATCAGACCATTCCTTTTCCAAGGTGTCAGTACGAGGCATCTTCAACTCCGTATCTCAGAGGAGCTCAAAGAGAAGTTTGCGTTTGGCTTTGAGTATGGATGGTGGAGCATAATGATGCAATGCACATTGAAAGTATGAGAGACGCGCCAGGGACCGATGACAATGGATGATTGTCAGGGATGCAGAAATGGTATACTATGGTTATTATTACCACATTTCATTCTCGTTGTTTCGATAGGCAGTGGGGTTAGTGTGGGTAGAGAACTGGGGATAGGCATGGCTGGTATGCGGCACGCTTGGCGAGACGTAATGATATAGTATAGGAGACTACGGATTAGCCTAAGCTCAAAGTCGAATAACGGTAACAAGTGAGTGAATTACATGATGAAAGATCTCCCCACTAGGCATTCCTGTAGCAGTCAATCGGTGGGCAAAGCGGACCCGTCAACAGTCGAATAGAGGATGAAGTTGTAACTGGGAGAGAACCCGATGACGTCGGAGGGGTTGATGGCTGGCAGGTTCCTCAACAGACGACTTATATAAAGAGGATTCGGTCTGCAGCAGCAGTAATCAATAACTGACTTTAGCTAAAACAAAATCCAATTCATCTTTGACAAACATCATTTATATCCTTTTCCCCCCTTAGCTACGACGCTTCGTTCTTATACTCCGACTCCGACTGTGAGCTCCCTCTCCGCATAACACCTTAGTGACGTCATCGACCATCACCTCACGCGATCACTTCATACAACCTCTCGAACTTCCCAGAAGCGTGACTAGTCTTTTAACAAGCAATCTCCTTCGTATCGACACTTCATACCTCAAATCATAACCTTAATATCACAAGAAACATAGCAAAATGCGTGCCAACGACCCCACCTCCAAAGTCTTCTACAAGGGCGCCTCGGACGACTTCATCGTCTTCGTCGACGACCCAGCCGTCCTCAAGAACTGGAAGAACGACCGCTCAATCCCCTTATCCGATGTGGTAAACGGGTTCAAGATCTTTGTTACTCACAAGTATGTCCAATTGATTTGGTTCCACCCATGGGGTGCAGGTGTACTCCGTATGCTAACCACATGATGTACTTACTGCAGACACGGAGCCCAGGGTGTGCTTGACGGCGCCAGCAATGCCAGTCTGGACAATGAGTTTGGGACTCACAATGTCGATGATTGCATTGTGAAGATTTTGGAAATGGGTTCTTTCCAGACTTATACTGTAAGTTTTTCCCTTTCCCTTTGGGAGAAAGAGGGGGGGTGGAGGCTGATTGATGGATTAGCAAAGCGAGCATCAGGCCGATACGAACCTTGCCAATGGACCTGCTTTCCGGTAGATTGGGATGGGTTTGAGTCATGGGTTTGACTTGACCGCTGCGCTATGCTGCACTACATTCTATGAGCGATGATGATTTGGGTTTTCTTGCTTGGTAGCGGGGATGAGATGGGCTTTTTTACCCGGTGGGAATGGATGCCTGAGGGGTATGTACCTTATGTTAGGGCTATTACCTTATTTCAATGAATACGGATAGCGGGCTGAGCTTGCTGTCCTGATATCGATGCATGAGTTCGGGTTAATTGGGTTGAGATTATCGTAGATCATTATTGTGTGTCTATATACCTTACCCCATGGGCAGTAGCTAAGTCTATGTATACAAGTCATTGGCTAGGCGGCTTGTCTGCAAGAGCCTCACGGCGCTTGACAACCCAGCTCCCCAATTCATTCCACACGGCCTGTTTCTCTGCGATACTCATCCCAGCAGCCAGACCGCTCGTCGTCGTAGCGACAAACACCCGCGCCCCCGCCCATCCACCAGGGCCATCGCATCGCCCCATATTCTCCGCCTCATCCTGCCAACCATACCGGAACTCCTCCTTGCGGATCGCCCTCCCCTTCCGCACCCGCCACACAGCCTCCCAGATACTCTTGCCCACGAGACAGACCGCCTCGGGCCGCTGCTTCGCGACCTTCGCCTCAAGCACGGGGACACCGGCGTTCATCTCGGCCTTGCTGAGCATGCTCGCGTCCCGCGTCGGACGCTCGACGATATTCGTGTTCCCGATGTTGTAGAGTTCCGGCAGGCGGTAGGTGTCTGAGGGCGGGTGGCGGATGGGGGTGATGCCGGACCAGTGCAGGAGTTTCCAGAAGAGGTTGGAGGGGTGTGCGTAGGCGAAGCCCGTGGTGCCGGTCATGATGCCTGGGTTTACGCCTACCAGCAGTAAGGTGAGATTCGGCGGGATGGTGTCGCGGAGGAGGCAGATGGAGGATGTAGCTGGGGTGGAGGGTTGGCGGCGAAGGGACCGAGGGCGGGAGGTCTCTTCGGGTGTCGTGGAGGGTGTGAGGGGGGAGTCGGGTCTTGATGGAGGTAGCGAGGCAGCCGAGGTGGTGGTGGAAGAAGCGGAGCGGGAACGGGTGATGTGCGGTGTAAGGCTGGTGGTTACGGTTGAGGATTGGCTTGAACGTAGGGTTCGTGGTCGTTTGAAGGACGGTTGAAGAGTCGGGTCATTGCTGGATGGATCACTGGGTGGTTCTGATTCTGATTGAGACTCGGATTTGCGCTTGACTGTTGCTGTTAGGAGATTCGGTGCTGAGGCCATCTCTGCCGACGAGTCCTTTGTCGGTGCGACGTTCTTGGATGTATGAAAGTATTGGTTCAGTCTCCCGTTGAAAGTGGTCTTCTTGTTCACGGGGACATCGTGTTCGTCGTGGATGCCAGCTTCATCTTGATATGCTTGAGAAATGTCCTCAGAAACAGGAGCAGGTGGCGCCATGCCTGCTGTTGACGAAGAACCTTGCTGGAGCGGATTAGTGGTGACGGAGTCAGTTTTTCTCATAGGGGTGTCAGGAGACGGTCAGAAAGGAGCTCATGGACAGTTCAATCGTGACTTGTGAAGTTTTCATCTGGTTATTCTCTGTCATATCTACCCTGGGAAATCTTGTACTGGGACCCAATCATAACGGTCTTGCCACTCAGGTACCTTTGCTGGCGGTCATGTGACAATCACCGAGCTCTGGCATTAAGCTGGCGAGACACAGATTTCTTGACCAGTAACTATGATTATAGGTTCAGGTAAATGTTATATATACATGAGCAAGAAGCCCGCTGGCCCCTCGCGGCTTCGACTTCTAGACCAGCCCGCTGCACCGGCAGCATATGTCACAGTCCCATAATTGCTCCAGATCCCCTGGCGACGGAGCATTAATTCTCCAGGATTCAACGCCTTTTCCGTTCCCCTGGTCATGATTCGTTACGTCGTATATTCACTTCGTGATACGTAGAGCCCTTCGGTAGCGAGCATTTCGAACTGTTATACTTTGAGCAAGTGTCGTTTCGGCAAAGTCCACGGCTCCGGACATACAACCTGTAATTCGTCAGATAATGTGCGGGAAAGAGTCGTATACAAAGAGCCTCACCTCGCCTTCGGTGTACGCCCAGAAGTAGACTGCAATCCCGATCAGATAGTAGATGGCAGGATCCGTCCCCTGGTAGAGAAGAGCAGCGAGGAGAGCGCTCAGAGGGTACATGATGAGTCGCACTTCGATGCTGCGGTGTGGTAGGGTCCCAGCGAGCAGGTTCAACGGCCATTCCCATGCGATGCCGAGCAAGCCCATTATGAGGTTGAGGATTTGGAGTATCGGGGTGGGTTTTACAGCGCCATTCAGGTTTTTTGTGGTGAAGTCCCAGAATATCTTGGGCCAGATGAAGCCCTCCACGGCGCTGCCTATTTGGTCTATGTGGACAATGTGTCAGCTGGTCCTGCTGTAGTTTGAAGATTGAGGAATCACATACAAGCTGCAGCGGTGAGGATGATCAAGCGGGCCCAGTGGTTTTTGATCAGTCTTCCCATTGCGACGAGGGTATCTAGATTATCGATTATCGAGCGCTTAGAGAGTGTTATGTTTGACAAGCAGGCTTTCGTCCAGCGAAAGAGCTTCCATGCAGAGATTGAGGCCTCAGTATGGTTCAGCGTTGTCGTCGACCGAAATCAGACGTCCGCTCTGGCAGTTGATCTCGTACATGGGATGATCGGTGACAGTGACATGGCAGTTGAACAATGGTGTGATTTCTCTTATCCTCCCATGAGTCGAGTCGAATGTAAAATTTAAGGTTTGTATCACGGATATCGCATCAACCGAGACGATCAATGCGTCAAAAATCAGGCGCAAAAGCTGGGTACCATGTTTCTGAGCTTGCGAAGAAAAGTGATGATAGCGTGATGGCAGGATAAGTGGGAGGGGAAGCGATTAGTTACATAGGCAGCTCACAGTGCCAAATCAGCAGAGCGAGGGACACCACATGATCGCTAACGAGGATATTCTCCGTGCAGTAGTGCAGAACCATAAAATAAAATATTTAGCACTGCTGTGAATTCTTCGTCCTGGTATCGTCGGAGCAACTGTGACACGCGGGGTGTTTGATCAATCGCCTTGAAGCTGAGCACCAATTGAAGCCGGAAGACCGCTCGAGGCAGTCGAGGCCGCTCTTGGCTTCTTCATGCACAGAGTGAGTAAAGCATGAACGATTGGGCGAGAGCACGGATACTAGTTAATAAACTAAACAAAGTCGGGCTGGCAATCCTGGAGATATTGGAGCTGGTAGGTTGGCAGTCCCTAGTCGGGTGCTATGAGCATTGCAGGATGAGTGAGAAAGAGAACGAATGGGAGAGGACGAAGAGCGTGACAGAATGCAGGAGATTTGCGGGAACACGCTTTAGCGGCCGACGCATCTGTGTGATAACACTTGCCAGAAGACAGAGTAGAGCAGTTGTCACCGTGCGAATATCGGACTTCAATTACTGGAAGAAGGAAAATACCTAGTAATGAATTAATTGTAGTACGGCATATCAAAGACTCGACCAAGATCCAAATGTCTCTTTACTCCCATGAAATGCTTCTTTCGATGAGTCGCCACTTCTACAGTAAATACAGTATAGTAGTTCTGACCCTGAGAGTGATGAGGAGGATCTAAGAAATTGATATGCTAATGAATCATGCTATTATTTATGAGACAGTCGAGGAACGTTCGAGATTGTCCATTATTCAAGCTTATACTTCGGAAAAGGCTCAAAGAACAGAATTCGTCTCACCGTCTTTTCAGTTCTTCGTTCTGTAGGTGATTCTACCCCTCGTTTTGAATTCCTTTTCAATGTACAATTCTTCAGGCTCTCGAGAAGCAAATTCGGGGATATTGTCAACTTTGGATTAGTGGCGAATAGCTATGAATAGACATATTCAAATACCTGACACCAAAAAGCCCAATGACTATATTTGGCATCAATTTAAAAAGAACATGAACATGAAGGCACCAAGACAATCGACTTATCTGGGGGAGGCGTTCTGATTGAGATGCAGGAGACCGTCTTCTGATTGGCTGGAGCAAATGTGATGAGATGAGCGCCTGCAGAATGGCTCTGATTGGACAGTCAGTTGTTCCCAGCACTGATGGATTGGGGACAGGATCCACGATATCCCTCTCAGTACTCCGTACTCAGTACTCAGTACCTAGATAGAGACTATCCAGGTGCCTTTATTCATGGCCCTGGCCCACAAGAGTTAAAAATAAATAAACGCCAGCTTTTGACCATAGGTACTAGCTAGGATGGTTCATGATTGATCCCGGTACCACATGGTTCGCTTATGGAGCTCCCAGGATATGAGAACGCCAGTGGAACTTTGGAGAAGCAGGAGAAAGATAGCGAGAAGACGAGGAGAAAAGGTACATCTTGGCAATTCTCCGTAAGGGTTGGCAAGTCCGAACGAGGACCGGTGATAGGCATGGCGTCTGTCAGAGTCAGACGATGTCGGCGTGCTATTGACCTGGAAGGGATCATATCCGAACAGACACAGGTCAAGAGTTTCTCCGTCGAGTCGGTCACATATCGTATGATGGCAACTGGCAAGAGATGATCCAAATCAATATGTACTCCGTAGAGGAGTATGGACGGATGGGATTTGTGATGTTACTGGTCCAGCCACGGAAGGATTGGAAGAGAGGCACCATTTAAAAAAGTAAACGCCAAGTGTACGGGCATGGACATTTGTTTGGATAACTATTGACTCGTGCTAAGAACTCAAAATACAACACTGTCCAGTAAATGATTAAATATAGCATAATTAGATAGATCATGACAGACTAAGGCATTAAATTATTCCCTGTGCTGGTGGCTTCTTTGACCCCTTCCCCCTCTCTCATCTTCCCTGCAGCCAAAACCACAACGCTGGGAAACCAAACAAGCGACCTAAGCGGACTTCCTGCAAAAAAAAAAAGTCTTCTCAACGTCACTCTATCCTGTCTATCTAGTGCGATCTGTCTATCCAACGACTCTAGATGCCGTTCTATATTCTTTGTCTTGAGCTCATTTAGACTTTCTTGATCATGATTCTGTTCGCCTCGACTTCTCTCCTCGACTGTCACTCGCCCTGTAGCGTTGGCCGTTAATCTGCCCAGCATCGCTACCTACACTTACGCGCCGCATTGCACTCTTCTCTTGGCCAATATCATCGTGAAAGGTCCTATATGGAGGCTCATAGCTCTTGTAGATCTGACATTGACAAGAAATATCGATACATGACTTTGTCTCGATTATCTCCCCTGAAGAGACTGCGTTCGACAGCCACAAGTCCAACATCCATCGCAAAGTCCCAAACCGGCTGCTGATCCCTGGATTCATGATTTCCATCCTTATTTGAAAGAATATAGAGTGGTTGACTTTTATAATATTGTTATTAATCCAACCGAGGACCCTCCAGGGGTAATCCATCATCGCGGGTCGATGGTCCCCAATTGTCTATCCGGATATCTGCATCCTCCAGACTCAGCCCCATCAACATGAGGCATCCACTGTCCTCACAATTTACAGGTTCTAAGATTCTATTTTACTTTCTTTTCTGGGGTTTACATATTGGCATCTTCGCCGCAGGATGGTACGTCCAGATGTAGCTTGAGGGACTGGATGACACTGATTGATATGCATTCAGGTATATACAAGCATCAAACCCCAGGCTGGAGGCCCTCAATGTATTGAAGTGGTCGGTGTGGTTCTCCAGAGCTGCGGGTCTGGTATTGACCGTCGATGGGACTCTTATCCTGCTGCCTATGTGCCGGAACCTCATTACTCTCATCAGACCCCGGATTCGATGGCTGCCCCTTGACGAATCTATATGGTTTCATCGTCAGGTGGCGTATGCGCTGCTCATCTTCACTACTATACACGTTGCTTCCCATTATGTCAAGTAAGTCGGACACGGTTGAATGCCATCCCGGAGACTGCTAATCAACGAAAGTTTCTACAATATCGAGAAGGACAAAATCCGCCCCGTAACTGCTATCCAGATTCACTATACCGAAGCAGGTGGAATCACCGGCCATGTCATGCTTCTGTGCATGATGCTTATGTATACCACTTCCCACCATCGCATCCGACAGCAGTCCTTTGAGACTTTCTGGTACACGCACCACCTGTTCGTTCCTTTTCTGCTGGCCCTCTACACGCATGCAACTGGTTGCTTCGTGCGAGACACTGCGCATCCGACCTCTCCCTTTGCGGGGAAGAAGTTTTGGAACCATTGCCTTGGTTACGAGGGTTGGAGATGGGAACTGGTAGGCGGCGGTCTCTACCTCATGGAGAGGCTTTACCGCGAGATTCGGTCCAGACGCGCCACCGTCATCACGAAGGTGATCCGTCATCCATATGGTAAGCGACACCTCGCCATGTTACTGTGTTTGTCGTTATCTTACAACTCGTCAGATGCAATGGAAATCCAGTTTCGCAAGGACAGCATGAAATACAAAGCCGGACAATGGCTCTTCATCCAAGTTCCCGAGGTTTCCAACACTCAGTGGCACCCCTTCACCATCACATCCTGTCCCTTCGATCCGTATATCAGTATCCACGTCCGCCAAGTAGGCGACTTCACCAGAGCGCTCGGTGACGCTCTCGGATGCGGTCCCGCACAGGCCAGAGATATGGAAGGCTTAGACCCGCTGGGAATGTACGAAGTCGCCCTCCAAAACGGCCAGAAAATGCCCAAGCTCCTCATCGACGGGCCCTATGGCGCCCCCGCGGAGGACGTCTTCGAGAACGAAATCGCCGTCCTCATCGGCACCGGCATCGGCGTTACCCCCTGGGCCTCCATCCTCAAGAACATCTGGCACCTCCGCTCAGGCCCGAACCCGCCCCGCCGTCTCCGCCGGGTCGAGTTCATCTGGGTCTGCAAGGACACCTCCTCCTTCGAATGGTTCCAGGCCCTCCTGTCCTCGCTCGAGTCCCAGTCCGCCAGCGCCGCCGCCAGCCAGGGCAGCGCCGAGTTCCTGCGCATCCACACCTACCTCACGCAGCGGCTCGACGACGACACCGCCGCCAACATCTACCTCAACTCCGTCGGCCAGGAGGTCGACCCGCTCACCGAGCTCCGGAGTCGCACGAACTTTGGCCGGCCCGACTTCAATCGGCTCTTCACGGCGATGCGTGATGGGCTGCATGACCAGTCGTACATGTCTGGCTTTTATGGGGCCATGACGACGGAGATCGGAGTGTACTTTTGCGGCCCGAATGCGGCAGCCCGGCAGATCCGTGAAGCGGCCAAGACGGCGTCCACCAGGGACATCAGGTTCAAGTTCTGGAAGGAACATTTTTAGTCGTCTAGAAGTCGACTTGCTGCGCTGAATACAAAACCATCAGCTGCAAGAGGGGGAAATATCAAAACAGTATCACGAATGAGTTTAACGTGTCATGAGTCATGACTTTCTTTATTTGGTTTTGGTCGGATCATACAAGGTATTTGGGCCTGCGTGTATTATAGTACAGAATCTAGCCGTATATCCATCGTTAATTGGTTGCTTCGGATA